CATCATGTGATAGTAGTGCTCTCCTATTGGTGGAGAGATGACGCATGATGATTTTCATTAAAGACATGTTGGAATCTTTGATTCCAATAGAGGGGAGCAGAAGGCTTGTGGCATGCATTATAAAAAAGGTCACATATAGAGGGCAGCACAAAACGGGCAAAGCTAATCTTGTGTGAAGAGGGAAGTACCATATCGCATCGGAAATTCAGGTAATTCAATCTTATGAAAACAAAAAACGTCTAAAAACAAACAGTTTCAAGGAAAGAATAAACGTGCCTATGTGCTAGTGCTTATGGGTATTACCATGCTTGGAGAATGTGTTGCCCTCCTATTGGTTGAGGGCTGTAATTTTCAGAAAAAATTTTTCAAGGAAACAACTGAGCAGCTTCCGGGTCGACCTGGTCCATCGGAGAGGACAGAAAGGGGTGTCAAGAGGAGCATCGACATGGATCCCAGATTAGTGACTGCAGAAGTGGCCAAAATTGTTTGGATGTGCCTGAAATCTGTTCAACGGATTCAATGGAAAATTCTATGTGACAATAATTTTAAGATTGAATTTTTGCCTCAGCCACAAAAATACATACCGTTTTATTTTTTATTTAAACATTATGTCGAATCATTGGTGTCATCCTTCATCTGTGCGCAAGTTATATAATAACATAGTCTAATAAAAAAGTATACATTATTAAGACCTTTAACTCGTTGACAAATTACTCAAATTTTGATGCGACATTTTACTTTCAAGTTAGCTTAAATACGTGTACAAAAGTCTCATTTTTTACTTAAATGTTTTTTTTTTGTATCTAAAATTAACGTTTATATATAATCTACTGACATTCATCGAATATTCATTTTTTTTTACACTGTTCGCAACACTTCCCTCTGCAGATAATTCTATACTGTAAGAACACTTGATTATATATTTTATTATACTGCTACATCAACGTTGTTGAGCACAAAGTTAGACATTAGGCAATCTGGCCTCTTCTCGTTGAATTTATCGAAACCCGATTTTCAGCGTTATTAGCCCTGAGACTCACCGTTGAGCCACAGAGGGGCGTAACTTCAATGACTAGATATACAACTCTCGCATAAGTACACTATTACAGCAACACTTGTTTCTACGACTCTTTTCTGCCACTCAGGTACAAGATAAATAAAAATTTGGATTTTTAAAACCTGCAAATAGGGATTATCTACTCAAACTACAAATCCCTATTTTGACTCCACCAAGTATTAATTCTAAGTAACAGCATGGAGCCAAAATAGGGGTTTGTAGTTTGAGTAAATAATGCCTACAGTATCTTCAACCTTGTTTTGTTTTTTACTTTTTTAAGATCCCTATTTGCAGGTTTTTAAATTCCCAATTTTTTATTTATCTTGTTTACTGGCTTTTATATGTTCAATGGGGAAAGGATTACTTGATATGGTAGCTAACTTTATACACTGTAATGATAACAAGCACAGCTAGTAGCTAGCGGATACGGTTGATGATGATTTACTATAGCTATTGACTATTTGATCGCATTAATTCGAAATGTAAAACATTTAGCTGCAGCTGGAGATTTTCATGGAGATTTTTTGAGAATATAGTGAACATTTATAGTTTCTATGTAACTAAATTCTCTGTATATAATGCATAGCAATAGGCAAATATATGCCTAGACTAAGACACAACCACCACTAAGCGCGTATAAAATTTTACTAGTAGAAAAGCAGCCTTTTCAAATAAAACATATACGTCTAAAACATCGCTTTAAATAAACCTTCGTGCCTTTTACACTAATTATTTTACGAATGTGTGTAATAAAATTAATATTATGTGTGTATTGATTTTTTTACTCCTTCACTTCATATATAATATAGGGGTTGTCTCTCAAAAGACACCAATTGTATAGTGTACAAAGCATTGAGTATACACCCACGACCTTCGCAGTACCTTATTTAGTGTTCTACAAAAGATTTGGATGCAATATACCAAGCCGTTTTTTGTTGTAAGCTGGCAAGAGAATAAGAATTATAAACGTGCCGTTTTGAGCGGATTTTCTTTTCCTCGTAAGTCTAACACTCGTGCTTTTTGAACATTTTGTGTGTGTACAGCCTTAGCAGTTAACACTAAAGGTTTTAAAGTGTTGTTGGAACTAAATCTTTACTGGTGCTTTTTGCCCGAACGTTCGATTTGGGTTCTTTGCAATTCCGTGCGAACCCTATTATGAACCACTATCGTGGTTCATGATTATAACAATGATTGATGCCAAAATTCTTTTTCTCTTGGTTACACATACGTCTACGACTTTCAACACCTATAATTCCACGACTCTACAAAAAACCAAAGCACAACAACTTCTGTACAACGATGACTTATCTCTAATCTGTTGACATCATAATGTATTCTGCGACTCTATATATATACATCAATATAATGTATAACAAAAGCTTCTTATCTGTAGCTGTACGGTTATTGTCTATAGAACTAACTAAAGGTTAGTTCTCTTTGTACCAGTCCCTATAAGGATAATGTCTACAAATATAATAAAAACTTTATCAATTTTTGCACCATTCTTCTTTTTTTTATTATATACAAAATCAAATCTTTCTATCAGTGCTCGCACCATAGTTTTCATATGATTAGTGTATGCTATCCTAACACACAAGTTATCAGTGCTCGCACCATAGTTTTCATATGGTTAGTGTATGCTATCCTAACACACAAGTTAATCAGTGATGTCATACAAAAAAGAATAGTTTCTTCCAGTTCCTTTTTTTTGTACTTAACAACGTTGATATTATTCACTGTAAGCTTTGTGAAGAAAAATGGTTTTGAAAGAATAGGGCTAATAAACCTTCCACCAACAAATGAATGAGCCATTCAAAATCTGTATGTATAAAAAAGCTGCAAAAACGTGAATTTTACACAACATATCCGAACGTTAGATGAAATATAATTAAATGTAATTTAATGAAAAGAAAGAAAGAGTGAAAAAAAAAACGTACCCACAAAATAAACATCCAACACCGAGGTACAAATCATAAGGTGAGTCATTATGTAGTGTGCCCTGGTTTTGTTTTTAGGTACTGGCGGAAGTAAGAGCCAAATTGTGTTGGGGGTGCACCGTCTATCCAGTTTAACCTCAAGTTCTCGACCTCACATGCTTATAAGAAAAAAACAAAAGAGCAGATGTGGGTGCTTTAGCCCACAACGCCCCACATCTTTATCACCTTTCACTGTTTGAAGCCGGATGTGCAAAGGTGGCTGCTCATAAATACTTTTTATATTTATTGTAAAATAATTTAAAATATTTCATTAAAGTTTTCTCCTCAAAGTCATTAAAAATCAGTTTATGTACTAATATATTATTATTAAATATTAAGAAATGTACATTACTACAAATTCTACAATACCTAAGCAGTTGAGAATATATATTACTCTGTATGGTATTTGTTGGTACATTACTGTTTGGAGAGGGAAATCCAGAAATGTGAAATCATTTATTTTATCATAAGTAGTAATATTACTACAATTATCAATTATCTTAATAGCTAAAGAAAAAGTTGAGGTTAAACTGCGTAAACGGTATACTCCCAACACAATTTGGGTCTTACTTCCGCAAGTATCTAAAAAAAAAACAGGGCACATTACATAATGATACACCTTAATATACACGTTTTGTTCCCCGGTGTTGTATGTTGGTTTTGTGGTATAACTCACTGGCTATAATTAATATAACTCACTCTCTACTCTTGTCAGATCGAATGGTTGGATTTGAATCTCACTCGTATATACTATCATCGACCTAAAGTACGGAGAACGTTTTAATGACTAGGGGACGCGAGCCTCGAATCACAGCCCGGATATGCTAACCACTAAGCCACATCGGACCGTAATTTCTAGATATTTTATTATTGTTGCATTACATGTATTAAGCTGATAACTTATAAAATGTTTAATTTATAAAACAATTTTATTCCCATAAATAGTTGAAGATAATTGCAATTATTTACTAAATTAAATCAAAAGAAAAAAAAACTCCAAACATAATTAAGTCTCATTTAGGTTTGAATAAACGATCATTTAATTTCAAAACTATCATGCGAAAATCCTGTTGATTAACAAAAGCAGAGATTTTTTTTTAAAATAAATATAGACAACATTGTTATACACTTTTGAAATTGTAAATCCGTTTACATACATAACCTAGAAGAAACTCGATTAGAGGAATTTTTATAAACCCTCGCATGGGAACTATTAATAAAGCATCTTATATAAAAATAGATATGAAAATAAATACTGCAATACATTTATTAACACTTAGAAAATGCTACCCATGACACACGAAATTAAGTGACTAGTATCAGAAAAAAAAATGTCGCTTAAAATACTGTTTATAAAACTTAATTATATTACGAATGAGAAAGCCACTTCTAAGTAAGTCGTTTATAGGAACCGCGTCTCTAGGAGATGGCAATTTGTTGGTCGCCATTTATCGAAACCTGTAACCGAACATGGTCGCCATTTATCGAAACCCGTAACCGAACATGGTCGCCATTTATGAAATGGGAACAATATAACGTAACGGCCAATCTTACTATTTATTGGTAAAAGAGTAGTCCAAGAGTTGATGGTGGATGATGAAGACTAGCCGCCTTCCCTCTAATCTTACACAGCTAAATTAGGGATGGCTAGCGTATATAGCCCTCGTGTAGCTTTGCGAGAAATTCCAAAAACAAACAAACAAACTCTAGAAGATATGCATAGTGGCTATAACTAATAAGGTTTATCAATAAAGTCCGTAGTCCAAACGAGATACACAACTTAAATATGTTTATTTACCAGCTGTTAAAAGTAACCCGCTGAGCAATTATCCCTTCCACCAACCTATAGGGTAAGCGAAAAGGGGCGTCGTTTTCTTCTGGAGGTTTCTTACAGAGGAAGCTTAAATATTTAATTCATGAGCTACAGAATTTAAATACTCCAGAAAGTGCTAAGAAAACTGCCTTACCGTTATGATATCGCCTTCCTTCAGAGGGAGACACTCGGGATCTGTCGGATCTCTGAAGTCTTTTATAGCTCGAGCTTCGACAGCGCTAACGATTTCTGGAAGAAGAAATGATAATCAGGAACACAAATATATCCTCACAGAAAAACTGGCCTCATAAGAAATACAAGTTTAACACCTAGATAAATTGCATACAGTTTAAAGTTACACTTTCTCGTTAGAAGGATTAACCCGAAACACCGTATTAACATGCTAACTATGAGTTATTAATATATTGATTACTTGGCCATTATTACTCCAGAGCAAAATTTTCAAACGACGTGGAAGATGATAATCGAGACGAGTTTGAAAACATAACAGGATATGTATACTATTTTCTAATTACGGTTTTCTTATCATACAATTGGTTGAGCAATCGTATAGAACGTACGCGCTATGAATGTTGGGAAAATATTTTTCAGCTTTATTAAATCACGCATCAGACTCAAGTAGCTACCATATCTGTCCGTCAGCGAAGGACGCCTGTAATGTCAACAGCGTTGTAGAACCATAAAAGGTTCGCACTGTGGCTACCGTACTCTATCAACAGGACCTACGGTTTCCGGAGGGGTTCTTGGAGCACGAGGTCATCCTCTAACTCGGCCTTGAGATTACGCGAAAATCGGGACAATAAATACCCTATTCATAGTTTCTGATCTCCGCCTCCTTAGCTTCAAACCCACTTGACGGTGTAATGTAACACTGAATAAATATAACTGTTAAATAATCTTTATACGAGGTGCTTGACACACCATACTTTACACACACACACACAATTATCCTCAATATATTTTAACAAAGATATATTTTAGCATTAAAATATACAAGTCCCCAATGGCTCAGCGGTAAGTCTTCAGACTTACGGCGCTAGACATCAGGTTTCGATACCCGTGATGGGCAGAGCATTGATAGCCCGTTGTGTAACTTTGTGCGTAACAACAGCCAAACTAAGCCAATAACATAACTTTAATGGTTTATCTTCAAGGTAATCACTATCTAGAAACTTGTATCTCAGTTTTCCCTATATAATAACGTTAGAGGATATCTGTACTTTGTATATTTAAAGACTTATTAAAGCTATCTGCCGCCATCCCTAATATTGAAATCTGAAACCAGAGGGAAGGCAGATAGTCAGAAGCATACTACCACCCACGTTAAGAGAGTGACTGTCACACTCATAACGCGCCTAAAACTTAAAGTTTGGAAAACATTTTGAGGTACAGCACGATTTCGATCCCAACTCGCTAGCTCCGAAATCCATAGCTCTAACCACAGAGCCAACAAGCACAATAGAAGATACTCAAACCAAAGACTCTTGCACTGATACACACTGCATCATAAAACTATATAGTAACCTAAGGAAAGTTCCAAGTCCTTGTGAGACTAAACAGATTTTCGTACATGTGATGAGAAAAAAAAAAGAAACATACGATTAATTTTTTTATCAATTTATGATACCAAGAAAAAAAACAAGGTGAATAAAGAACAGCATGAATTTAAAAAAATCGTGAATCATTCAAAAACTGATCTTTATCAAATTAACACAACGAGCAACTTAATAAATCTCTACGTCATGGTCTCACCTAGAACACAAACAGATCTTTATCAAGTTAACACAATGAGCACCTTAATAAATCTCTACGTCATGGTTTCACCTAAAACACAAACAGATCTTTATCAAGTTAACCCAATGAGCACCTTAATAAATCTCTACGTCATGGTTTCACCTCGAACACAAACTGATCTTTATCAGATTAACCCAATGAGCACCTTAATAAATCTCTACGTCATGGTTTCACCTAGAACACAAACAGATCAATACTTACGCCAGGAATCTTAGAAAAGCCAGACGAGTCTGCAGGACTTCATTCTCTTTCCATCCCTGCTAAATTGTTTATTTCAGAATTTCGCGTAAAGCTACACGAGAGTTTTCTCCGCTAGCCGTCCCTAATTTAGCAGTGTAAGACTAGAGAGAAGGC